GAAGTGAACTTTTTTACTGAATTTTCGACTCCAAGAAACTCGTAGACATCCTCATCAAACACTGGGCTTATACTTCTCAGCTTTTCAAGACTCAGCTCCTGAAGCTGGCAGTTACTGGAAACACACAAGGCAACACACCTGCCAACTATATCATGAGAAGTTCGGAATGGCATTCCCTGCGCACAATACACCATTTAGAATTAACTCAAAACGAATATAATTTCAATCCATAGAGGGATTTCGCTCCAGCGGAAAACATTGTTTGTTTTTCGAAAAAGGAAAATGCGGTGTAATATATACCTACCTTCTTGACAAGGTAGTCAGCAAGCGTCGTGGCATCAAGATGACCAGCAGGTAGAGCATTCTGTATTCTTTCCTTATTAAAAGTGATGTTCTGTGCAAATTCTGCCGACACTTCAAGCATTCCTAATATTGTCTTGATGCTGTCAAACACAGGCTCCTTGTCTTCCTGTTTGAGGACAGTTTAAGCTTTTGATGGAAATATAGGAGTCTACTATGAACAAATTTAAATGGCAATGGATGGAATCGCTTACCTGTAAATCTCGGTTGTATGCATGAGGAAGTCCCTTGCACAACACGAGAAGCGAAACCAGGTCTCCAACAACTCTGGCAGATTTCCCTCGAACAAGTTCCATTGGGTCTGGGTTCTTCTTCTGTGGCATTATACTGCTTCCAGTTGAAACAGAGTCACAAGGAGTGAGAAACCCAAATTCTTCTGAAGCCCACAATACCCACTCTTCACCAAGCCGAGAGAGATGTATTGCCGTGATGGAATTTGCAGAAAGAAACTCCAAAACAAAATCTCGATCTGAAACTGCATCAATGCTATTTCATATAATGGTGTCACAAAAAATTTGAGGAAGCCAAATGCTCAACAAAATAACTAGCATAAAAAACCTCCACCAAAAACTGCATCAATGCTATTTAAAATAATGATCTAACTAATTACGTGACAAAGCCATGCACTCATTGTGGACAAGATAGAAACACAGTAAATGATGCAATACAAAATAAACATGAACCATAAATGCCACTACAAGATATGCTAGTGGAATATAATAGATTCAAAATATTATTTCATGAGGTCCAGAATTGACAGATATTAATCTTAGAGTTCTTGAAATGATGGATAGGTAATTACAATCATTTAACCTGTCCCAATGAAC